GCGGCTCCGGGCCCCCAGACCCGGCCGCTCTGCGAGGGGCGTCCCCGAGGGGATGAGGGGTCCCGGGCACGGGGTCCCGGAGGCCCTGGGAGGGGGCTGAGGGACCTGGGAATTGCCGGAGACCTGGGGAAGTGCCGCTCCCCGTGAGCTGTGTGTCTGGGCAGGGCTCCTGTGCCCCTGGGGAGGCACCGGGCGGCTGCAGGGGGCTGTGGTACGGTGGTCCCAGCACTGAGCCTCTCCAGGTGCCTGCAGGTGCGAAGGACGACACATTCAACGTGCTGGACCTGGCGGAGTACACCAAGAACCGGCCCTGGTGGCGCAAGATCTTCGCCCCCAACTCGGGGTCGAGCGCTGAGAAGTACAATGTGGCCACGCAGCTGGTGATCGGAGGGGTCACAGGATGGTAAGATGTGCCGGGGTTGCCCACGCTGCTCATGGCAGGCGCTGGCTGGATCTTCGGGGTCACGCTGACAGGTGCTGGGTAGTCATGTGGCAGTCATTCAGAGAAGGCGGGTGCTCAGCCTGCTGTCCCCTGGCATCATCTGCTGAGCTCTGGGACGTCTTAAATGTCTATAAGTTGAAGAGCTGAGACTGTCTCGAAGGGAAGAAAATTGCACCAGACTGAAATTATTTTTAACTTCTGGCAAAAAGTGGTGCTGTTGAATTAGGACAGGCAAATATGCACCTTGAAACAAAGATGTCTTATCCACTGGAGGTGGATGTGCTTAAGGCATCTGCATTAAACACCTCCTGTGTTTGGAAGTTCCCAGGGTTTTCTGTCACTTGTAGCTGGGACTGAGTGTGGCTCTATTTGCAGCTTTGTTCCCACAGCATCATTTGAGTTGAAAATTTGGTACAATCACTGCTTTGCCTCTTACCATTCCCCTTATCTTCACCTGGCAACAGGGTAATTATTTAACACTGTATGACAGAGCTTTGTCTTCTCAGAGAAGAGTCATCTGGCCACCTCTTGTATCTTTACTATGTGTATTTAGAAATGGGTAAAGGCAGGTTGCTTTTGGCAGTGTTGTTTGCAATGCTCATAAGGAACCTGTGTTCCAAGGAGAGTGTGGTTTGGGTGGCACCAGCCTGTGGCTGCATGACTGAGCAGTGGGGTGGTGCTGGCTGCAGTTCTGGTGGCTGCAGGATTGTTTTTCATGTTGAAAGCAGGAAACCCATTTTGGAGACCAGTATAGCCTTAGATCACTGCTGTGTGCTTATTCCATCATTTTTCTCTTCTGAGAAATGAAAATATAAAGTAAGTAATTGTTTACTTCTTACTTTACAAATAAGTAAGAACGAGGCTTGTGATTTGCTCCCCATGCTCTATCATGGAGCAGCACATGTGCTCCCTAAATTCCCCTCCGAGATGATACTGGTTAAAAAAAAACATCAAAATGTAAAATCACTTGTTGACTTTGGTGAAATCACAGGTTCGTGATTACTCTTTTGGGAGAAGGATGA